GTGGTGCTGGGGGATCGAACCGCGGTCCCTGATGCTTTTGCTAAGCTTGTTCCAAGTAGGTGCTTTAGACCACTGAGCCATCTCTCCAGCCCAATTGCAGGCAATTTTAACAGAACTATATGAAACAGAACTGTATGAGGCAAAGCATGAACAGTTATGAGCAATGGGCAAAGACATACTAACATTTGAAGCATAAAAATTTGTTACCTAAGCAAGTCCCAATCCAGAATTTGTGAAAGAAAAGCAAACTCATACCTCCGTCCAATGATCTTGGTGGAACCTCCAAATGATATAGGGACGTGAAATTCCCAACCTGACCTGAATGAGTTCGTGTTCTCTAAAACCGAAGAATGAATTTTAGGAACAAATGGAGGCTGAAGGTAAAACTTTATTGGAAAGGAAAGCTTCTGTCAGATAGGAACAGAAGGGGGTCCTGAGCGGGTTGCCCAGGAAGCTGTCTCCTTCAGGTTATTTTTATAGGCCAAAACCATGTGGGGTTAAGGTAGGGACAAAGGGGTCCTGCTTAGGCAGATACAGGGTGGGACAAAGCTATGGTCAACCAATGGGATTACAAGCACCATTGCTCAGGTAAAATTTATTAGGCCTAGGACCAAATGGGGTAGTGAGTCATGTAGCAAGCGGGCGACCTTATCTGGTGGCCTTCAGTCAATGATTTTTCCCGACTAATGAGCAATCCTGGATGCCAACTTTAGGGAGGTCAGTATTTGTTTGATCTTTAGGTCTGGCTCACACCAGGAGCATCTCCCCAGTAAGGTGTCTGGTCTTTGTCATCCCCTTCGAGGGCCTGTCCCTGATTAACTACCTACAATATTTCTATCTAACTCAGGCTGCCTACAACAGTTTCACTACATAGATCAACTCTTAGTGATTCTCCTGTTTTCAGCCTCCCAAGTGCTGGGATTACAGACCTGTGCTACCAAACCCCATCCCCATAGCAGTCTCAGCACGCCTGGGGGGTGGGGGCACAGCACACTTGGAGTCAGCCGCTGCGCTCTGCCTAAGCAGGCGCTTTAGTCTGCTGAGCTATCTGGCTGGCTCATAGCATTCTTTTTTTTTTTTAAGGAGGAAAAACCTTTCCTCAGGAACTTGCAGCAGACATATCCTTAAGTCTCACTGGCCAAAACAGGTCACATACCAATCCTTTATTGAACCTGGAAAATAAGGATTGCAAAACTCAGTTCTTTTAGCAAGAGGCAACTGAATAGCTGTTGGGTGGGCCGGTCCTGAAATATGTCCCCTGGCCCTTCAATAAGGTAAAGAAGGGCTGGGGAGATGGCTCAGTGGAATAAG